ACCGCTTAAAGAGAATCTTTCGCATAAGAATTGAGAGTCTTATTCGGGTATAGGCCTGTATTTTTTTATAACACTTGTCAATTTTTATGTACGATCCGTCAGTTTTAAGAACATAGATTCTTGGTAGCTTATGATAACATTTGTCAATTTTTATGTATGATCCGTCAGTTGTAAGAACATAGATTCTTGGTAGCTTATGGTAAATGAATAATCGAATATTTTGGTCCGACTCGAACCAAAATTAAATGTCTATACCCCACTCCAAAACTAAATTTTATCGAAATCCGTCAGGTAGTTTCCGTAAATTAACACGCAGATAGATATAAACAAACTTTGTAATTTATATATACTAATTAGGGGCCCTGTTTGTTCCCTAGGGACAAACAGAGACAGATTTGGGCGGTTATGATGGAGCCTTGTTTGCAAATCCTCGTCAGATGAAGCGTGTTCAGAGACCACGCGCTGTGCCACGCGTGTTTCTGCTTTCAACACCCCGATTGACTGAAAGTCGCTATAAATACTCATCATATGTGCGGACATCAGTTATGGCCCAACGAAAACATGTGATTGCATTTGAAGTACTGCGCCAAAGTCCGACACGTGCCCGGACGCCGAACCAATATTCCGAACAGAGCGACGCAGAGCCTCAGGATGCCATACGACACGACTACAAATCGACTTTCACTTACTAACCTAACCTGACCGAATTTCACATAATAAACTTCTGCTTCGTGCCTTAGATATCGCAGTTTGTTTGTGATTCTAATCGCCACGAAGCCTCGGAACGCCGTCAGAATCGACGCTGGCAACATAATTCCAAGCGTCGGGACGCTTATCGCCCCGACGTCGACATAGGGTTCCGAATAAAGTGAAGACGAACGTTATGACGTCATACAATACGACGCCGAGCGTCAAGATGCTGAAATAATAGGAAAAGTCTCCAGGCGGATACAGATCTCTGATAAGACGGACATTGGTGCTGTACTGCAGAATTAGGTATCCCGGTTGTCTGAATCTGCCAGCGTCCCGACGGATTGGTTTCAAGGCGGTGTTGTGTGACGTAGGTCCCGATTCAAAATAGACTGCCCGCGGTCATCTTGAGGCGGGTGAGGGGAGGGGGGGCGCACAGAGTGTGGGGGGGCCTGCCCTCGACAGATTTAGCCGTCTAGGGGTGCCCAAAGTTCCCTTTCGCGGTTCCTGTTTCATTAAATGTTAAGAACAATAATTTGAACGATATTTATTAAATTTGGTATTTGGGATTTTGCGCGAAAATACACGGAAAGAATTTAATTTATGTCAGCATCGGTTAGTTTTCAAAAATACAGATATTACGCTGAAAATTAACGTGAATATAGATGAATAAATTAAATATATGATTCTTGATCCTTGATTCATGTACGTTCTTTTTCGTTTTTGATAAGTTTCGCGATGTTCAGCGTGATCTAGACGTATCTATCGGTAGCGAAAGGTCCCGTTGCTTCCAGGATCTCCTCCGTTGTCACTAAGATGATGGAAGCCATAAGCAGTCACCTCTTATAGACTCCACCCCCACGGACGAGAGGTTCTGTGGAACTTGATAGATATTCCTGTCACGCGGTGAGCCATGTTCCATTTATATACCACCCACCACATTCACTTAACACAGGGAACGTTCCCTACAAAAATCTGACCAGAAGCGAGGATGGTCTCGAGAAGTTCAGACTACGATGATTAAGTGTCCAGATGGCAGCACATTAATGTCAACTATTTGGATTTCTCATGGCGAGAGACTGAAATACGCATGTTCTAACCACGCCAAGTCTTTTAACCAGGGATTTATTTTTAGTCAGCAAGAATATATTCGTCGAATTGCGGAAAACAGAGTTTCAATATGGAAACTGAAATTATAGTCAAAAGTTACGTGGACTGAGTGACCGAAATCTCATGAGTATGGAATATTAAAGAAACTACATCAGGCTTACAGTAACGAATGTTGATATAATTGCGTCATATTGTGAATTAAAATTTAATTATTCGTGTTTTTTCCATCTAATCACAATTGTATATAAATAAAATTATACATAAGATATTAAGATATCATTTACATATTTGGTACATCTTTTTACTACATGTTTCGGTTACATTGAACCATCTTCAGGTGTAAAGTTAAAAGTTAAAAATTATAATCTTATAAACTAAAACTTAATTACTGTTGTTGTGTAACTTCTGATGATGTTTACATCTAAATTCATTGGAGTGAGGGTATATTTTGAAGTGATAGTGGTTTAACATTGGCCTGTAACGTAACTTAACTTTTTAACTTTACACCTGAAGATGGTTCAATGTAACCGAAACATGTAGTAAAAAGATGTACTAAATATGTAAATGATATCTTAATATCTTATGTATAATTTTATTTATATACAATTGTGATTAGACGGAAAAAAACACGAATAAGTAACGAATGTGAACGACGACTTCGGAAGGTTGCCAAAGTAAAGCGGGCTTTTCCAGATCAAAAATAAAACCACGGAATTCCCGCATATGAAGTAGAATTTGCGGTGACAAATTAACAGAGTTTGGCATTGTAAACTGGAAATTGTTCTGAAGTACGCTGTCGTGGTTTATCTTCAAGATGGGGCCCTGTCATGAACTTTACCATAACTGAGGAAAGCCACGGAATTTATTACATTAATGACTTTTTATTTGCGGTTTATTTAAAAAAACATTGTCAATGGCGTATACCACATAGCGTCAAATGATGCTTGTCTATTTAAATGTTTCACTCGTACCTCAAAGAGAACACCACGCGTCTTCACGACAAGGATCGTTTGGTCAAAATCGTTCAGGGAAATAATCGTTGTCTATTCTGAGAATCATACGAAACACTCAAATACACTCTGTGCGCAAAATTCAGAGGAACTGAATGTTAAAGCAAGTGGTAAACATAGTTACCATTTAGATTTAAAATCTTTAGGGAACATTTAAGTAGGTCGTGACCTTGGAATATATCAAGGCTCTGTTCTGGCACAAGATGGCTGTCATCTAAACTTCTGCACCTTGTAGACATTGAACGAGGAGCTGAATGCGTGATAAAGGAGTCAGCAAGGACCTCCGAAACGTCGGTAAACTTATAAAAGACTACACAGCGTTACAACCCAGAAGACAGCCATCTTCAGACTCACTGCTGTGAAAACCTCAATCAAATTTGCCAACTTTTTCAGCCTGATGAGCGTATAATTCAGTTGTGGTTTGAAACGGGTGTTAGTAGGAAATCTGATCCGTCTGTGAGTACCCCGCCTTCCCCCACTGGACTCCCTTATCAGCCGGGCCCTTCCTTATCTACAGCTACATCCTTTGCCCGTTGATTTCTGTCGGAAACTGCAAGCATTTGTTCGAGCGGTGGAACAGAGTGAAGTGTTGAAACATATTGGCTGTTCTGTGTTACACGGGCGATGAACTGCAAATGCGTAAGGCAAGTCATGTGTCTAGTGTAAATAGTTTTAACGTGATAAAGATTACGTTCTTCTGGGTTCTGACATCGTGTAGTCGTGTCTGTGGTTAACAAAGTTTCGGAGGAATAAATCGCTTCCATCTTCAGAGTACGGTAAACGTATACGTAACCATAAACCATCACATGGAGCTGTAAGAACATAACGGGAATGGTGGTTAAATTTAACGTATCAACTTCGAGACTTTATCGAAATACGGTATCGACTTTTAAAGGTGTATTTGTTATTATACGTTTTACATGTCCGATAAGTTTCCACGTCTCCGAAAACAAGGATGAGTAACGTAAGTGTCACAAATATATTTTAATTTCTTTCGGGAAAATGTTTGATCTTTAGTCTGCGAACCAAATAAAACCTACAAATTCATTCCGTCTGCGACAGACACCAACAAATAAACTGAGAAGCAGCAATAGTTAGAGAATATGATGTGATCCCTGGCAGGTTATACTTCAGATTACGCGCACTACAGAAGTGTCGGAGAAGTTGCCGATACTACAAGGGTTTTAAGGCTGAACAGTACATAAAAAAGCTCAGTCCTTGTATATGGATGGACTTTGGTCCACGAACAATAAAGATGGAAAGCATTTGGAAAGGAAGTGTTGAAATATATCCGTACAGAAAAGAAATTAGGTAGCAGGGAGAAGAGAAAATTACATAGAGAGTAGCTTAAAAGTTTTAAATGTTCATTAATCACTGGATTAATAAGGTGTTAGTAAAGTCAATAAATTTGAAATGCATGTTACAAGCAGAGTATTCTGAGGAAACACTGCTTGTATACAATATTTTGATGGGGAAACTCGCGCAAAAAAAAAAGCACTTTAAAGGGGAGATGTAGATGAATGTATTATCCTACACCCATCGTGATTCCTGTCGCTCACAGCTGGGAACGTAGAAACATCTCCATCTATCGCGTATTTGTTTCACTTCAAATAATTATTCCGGGATGGGGTCGTTAGCCCCACGCCCAAGCCCCAACCTGGAGGACCATACCTCCGAATTTCTATCCCCCGGAAACAGGGCGGACCAGCTATACCCCCAGGTATTGGGGTAGCTCGGGTACCTCGGGGGTGCCAGTCCCCGTACCCACTGATGTGGGCCCCTGAGGGGGAATCGATGTATTGGATTTAATATTATTCTGTAACGACGTCAACTCAACTGTACAGGTGATGTGACCTTTGAGACCAGGACAGGCGGAAAAGGAGAGACTCGTGAATGACGAGGCAATATTTCTTCGCTGATGTTCTGACATCAAAGGAACGAGATGAATCGTGCGTAGCATGGAAATGGTTAATGACGCTGAACTCAAACAGTAAAAAATTTACGCTTCTTAACAACTGCAGTGGTCAGCTTCATGATCAAT